TCACATGGATTTAGCACAGCAGGCATCCTCATCAAGACTTACAAGACCTTCCTTGCTGGTCACTCCACTGAGTTCATGCCATTTCTTTGCCCTCTTTCTCTAGATCAGTGGTTCTCAACCTTCCTAATGCTGCGACCCTTTAATACAGTTCCTCATGTTGTGGTGACCCCCGACCATACAATTATTTTTGTTGCTACTTCATAACTGTAATTTTGCTACTGTTATGAATCGTAATGTAAATATCTGATATGCAGGATGTATTTTCATTGTTACAAATTGAACATAATTAAAGCATAGTTATTAATCACAAAACACTATGTAATTATATATGTGTTTTCCGATGGTCTTAGGCGACCCCTGTGAAAGGGTCATTCGACCCCCATAGGGGTCGCGACCCACAGGTTGAGAACTGCTGAATAAAAGGGCATTCTGAATAAAAGGAACAGATGTGCAAGGCTGGTAAATAGGGGCATGTCTGATATGTTTGCAGGACAGCAAGGAGAGTGTATCTAGGGCAGCGGTTCTCAACCTGTGGGTTGCCCAAGACCATAGGAAAACACATATATAATTACATAGTGTTTTTGTGATTAATCACTATGCTTTAATTCTGTTCAATTTGTAACAATGAAAATACATCCTGCATTACGATTCATAACAGTAGCAAAATTACAGTTATGAAGTAGCAACAAAAATAATTGTGTGGTTGGGGGTCACCACAACATGAGGAACTGTATTAAAGGGTCGCAGCATTAGGAAGGTTGAGAACCACTGAATTAGAGCTGTCCCTGGCCACTCTATCAAAAATATTTACCTTGCCTGGCTGACATGGCTTAGTGGTTGAGCATCGACCTATGAACCAGGAGGTCACGGTTTGATTCCCGGTCAGAGCACATGCCCGGGTTGTGGGCTCAATCCCCAGTGTGGAGCATGCAGAAGGCAGTCGGTAAATGATTCTTTCTCATCATTGATGTTTCTATCTCCCTCTCTCTTCCTCTCTGAAATCAATACAAATATATTAAAAAAATATTTACCTTGATTATTTTGTCTTCTCCATTTGAAAGGAGCTCAGGGATATTGGTTGATATTGATCACTACTCTCTAAGCTCTAAATCAGTGCCAGTAAATCAGAGGTGCTTAATAAATAATTATGGAATAAATTAATTCATTCAAAAGTGAAAGTCAGTACCTATTCCATATTTATATGTCCTAGTTATCAGTGACAAATCTACAAAGTCACAGCCTTGAAAATCCGAAAGCAATTTTTCAGCCTTGACTGTAATGGTATTTTCAATTAGCAAACAAGGTGGCTCCAAAGTTTACGACACCTGGAATGCTATCAGGCACCCTGATTTAGGCAGGGGGTCCAAAAGCTCCAATATTCCTGGTCTGTCACAAACATGAGTCTGTCCCCACACCTTTCCTGGGCCATAGTTTTCTAATTTCTGAATGGGGTATCTGATCTTATGCAACCCAAGTATTTATGTGGAGTTATAAAATATAAGGTGGGGCCACAGTAGGTTTACAGTTGTTCATATAGAAAATAATACAATAATAAATAAATGATAACAAAAGAATAAAATCTGTTCTGTGTACTTATGACTGTATATCTACTTTTTCTCCACCCTGGAATTTTAAACTCAAAACCAACAGCAGCAATTTACATAAAAAGAATCTTTAAATGAACATTTAAAAACATGCATTTCAAACAAAGTATTTCAAACATTACAAGTGTTCATTGAAACTCTAAAATTAAAAATGTTAAATGACAAGTTGATTTTTTTCACCAGGTAGCAAAAATGAAATATGGTCAGAGAATCTGAGGAACAGATGGAAATGGGGAGGGAAGAGAAGGCACAAGAGACTGTGCTGACCAATGGCAGTTCTCTTTCCAGCCAAAGCCTCTACACGGCCTCCCAACTCACACACACACACACACACACACACACACACACACACACACACATCAGACCCTCAGAAACATTCACTCTAGATACTAGAGTGGGATCAGTTTTCACAACATACTTACTTTTACAACCGTTTCCTTAATTCATGATATAAGGAGCTATGGGACTGCTCCATTGGCACACCCCCAACCTCTCCACCAGACCATATTCCCTATTCTTAGTGAAATAATGCAGAACATGCACAGCTTAGCATGTATAACGAGTGGGACAAAGCTGGAAGCTAAGGCAATGAAACAACCTTTAGCAAGTTACCTGGACACTTTGTGCCTCAGTTTCGTCTTCTCGATGGTGAATGGGAAGAATGTCATGGAGCTTTAGTTTCCCAAGAGCTCCACCAGTTCCCCACCTTTTGACATGATATAGTTATTTGTAAACTTATAAAACAAAGTTTCCATACATGTCTCCTAGCCCGTGCTTCCAACCAGAGTGCTTCTTAGTTCCTGCCTTACGGATATTTTGGTACTAGTAGTGGGTTGGCATTAGTAATGGTCTACCTCCAAAATTCTATTAAAGAGAAAGGGGGAGTGAGTAGACAACACTACGTTCACTTCAGTAAACACACTTAGCATAATTGGGGCAGGGGAATTGCCACCTTCACCCTGTTATACCACACCAGTAATTTCCAGCAATTACTGTGCGAAATGAAAGACACCCTTGGACACCTGCTTCATGTATGCACCAGATTCCTTTCTTTATTTCATACTAGAGGACCGATGCACAAAATTCTGCAAGGGGCTCGGCCCTCACAGCCAAGGCTGCCTTGGCCCTTGCAGCCCCAGCTTCCTCACGGCCCCGCTCCCTGCCCACTGGTCCTTCCAGAAGGTCGTTCTGGAAGGTCATTCCAGAAGGTCATTCTGCCATCCGGTCTAATTAGCATATTAGCTCTTTATTATATAGGATGTCTTCACAGTCATCTATTTATATTACAAAAGGAAACCTATGAACACAGCATCTAATTACCTAATCTATATCTATATAATAAAAGCCTAAGCAACTATTATACAGAACCAGAACGACTGGTCGCTATGATGTGCACTGACCACCAGGGGGCAGATGCTCAACACAGGAGCTGCCCCCTAGTGGTCAGTGTGCTCCCACAGGGGGAGCGCTGCTCAGCCAGAGCCAGGCTCATGGCCGGCGAGTGCAGCGGTGGTGGCGGGAACCCTTCCTGCCTCTGCAGCAGCACTAAGGAGCAGAGAGGCGAGTGGTAAGGAGCAGCAAGCAGGCGGGCTGTAAGGAGCAAGGGCTCCCGAACTGCAAGATAGCACAGGCCTGGCTGAGGGACCCCTCCCCAGGCCTCTAGTGTGTGTGTGTGTGTGTGTGTTAAAATATATATATATACTCTCTATGCAAATAGACCAGATGGAGGAACAACTGATCAACCAAACAGCCAGTCGCTATGACATGCTCTGACCACCAGGGGGTGCACATAGAACATGGCAGGCATCAGCAGCAGGCGGCATAGAGCGGAACATGGTGGTGGCGGCCACGGCAGGATGGTGGAGGAGAGTGGGGGATGCCAGATCAAGGCGGGGTGCCAGTTGCTATCATCAGGGTGAGCCTTCAGTGGTTACTGAAAATTCTTTACTCCCACATGCCACAGTCCCGCCTGGCGCTCACACCTGCTGTCGGCGCCAGGCACCGGCCCTGATCACTCAGTGTCATCAGCGGCTGCTGTCCCCGATCACCCCTCAGGGCTTCTCCACTTCCCCCTGTTCCTGAGGGGCAATCGGGGCCAGCAACCGCCTCTTTCACCAACTGCTGGTACCAGCCCTTCTTGCACCTGCAGCGGACGCTGCCACTCGCACCCACTACAGGCACCCGGCACCAGTCCCAATTGCCCCTGAGGGCTTCTCCACCTCCCCCTGCTCCTGGGGGGCAATGGGGGCAGCAGCCGCCGCTCGAACCAGCTGACGGCGCCGGCCCACTGCTCGCTCTGGCCCCAATGGCTCCATGCTGTCAGTGGGTGCAGGAGGGGCTGGCGCCATCAGTGCCTGGGAGCAGTGGTGGCAAGAGCAGGGCTGCTGGCAGACAGGGGACCAGGGGCTGCAGCAGGAGGGGGCCGGGCAGAGGCAATGAAAGATGGGCCAAGACCCTCCCCTGTGCCCACCGCTGTCTCGTGATGCACAGTTCCTTTCAAGGTGCATGCATTCGTGCACAGGGCCCCTAGCACTTTCATAAGAAGAAAAGAGTTGCCAATAAACCCAGGTGAGTTGTCAGGTGTTCGGGAGACAACACATTAGTTTTTCAATCATCATGTCTGGTTTAGCTGAACATATGGTGCTACCAGCAGAGTCACCTGCTCAGCCTGGTTTCTGATGGACAAAAGGACCAACCACAGACATGTTACCTACTCTGTATGGGCAGGGAAAAGCAGCTATCTTTCCCAACCCCAGCCCCTCATTCCTGTAATAAACAAGTACAAATTCAAGGGCCTTCATCATCGTCACCCTTCCCACATGTAAATTCACTGACAGGTGTGGGGGAGTCCTTTACTGTTCCCAGTGACTAAATTTAGATAAAATACAATACATTCCAGCCATAACCAAGTAGTAAAATTTCAAGGCAATTCATCATTGGTTACTTTTTTCACTACTACTGAAATCAATGTAAACTGAATGTCAACTTTGGGGAAAATCCAATACTTTCTTCTACAGCTAAGTGTAGATCACTATAGGTAATCATATAAATATGGTGAGTTTTATTTGCTTTGGTCTTTTTCTGGATACAATCAACAGGTCTATGAGATTCTTCATTAAATTTGACTTCGTTTTACGAATGTCTCAATCTTCTGATGGGGGAGGAGTTAGAGTTTGAGAGACTGCATTACTTTTAAAAAGAAGCAGCCTATTTTAGTTTAGAACCTCACACAGCCTAGGGACGCCCTGCAGGTGCTGGACGCTGGCCCACAGACAGGCCCAGCTTGAGCATGGCTCCAACGCAGCTGTACGTCTCCATCCTGCCCACCAGCCACCCCACAATGTGCCCAGGTGCCCCCATGGCGGAGCCAGGGAAGGTGGGCAGGGAGCCCTTTACCTGCCAGGCTGCCCGGCCTCTGGAGGGTGGCGGTGGCATACAGCTCCTGCGAGTGCTTGCTGTACTGGTCGGACGCGTGGACCAGGCGCTTGGTGGGCGACAGGGTGGCGTACGTGCCGATGGTGGAGCTCAGCTGGTGGATGGGCGAGGAGGAGATGGTGGACTGCACGGTGGGGGGCGAGGTCACGCGGATCGGGGACAGGCCGGCCGAGGACACGACGATGTTGATGGGCGAGCTGGTGCTGTAGGACTTGGCCAGGCGGCTGGGCCTCTG